AGCCCTGAAAGGCAGAAGCTGTCAGCATTGTTCTGAGCTGCTCAGCATTGGCAGCACTGGTTCAGAGCTGCATGTGGATGCAGGTCTGCCAGTGCTCCCACAATGCTGACAGGCAGCATCTGTCACATGCTGGCCTTTGGTCTGCATTACGAAGTTCTGCAATTTTTCTTTAAATAGGGAACATGGTGTCAATTAAAACCACTTTGGAGTGGAGATGAAGATAAGTATCGTTCAGGAATGATGCAGTTTACTATCCCTCCTTCTGGAATTTGAAATTAATTCCATAGGTGAATTGCATTTGAACTGGGAAAATAGCTGTGCATACCTGATGCTGTTGCTTCTGGCCATAGTTGTGTATTTAAAAAGCTTTAATGCAACACCTCTGCTGTTAAAAGCGGATAAGTATGAGGAAAGCAGAATTGCTGTAATTATACCTTTTATGTTTTACTAACTCTAACTGGCTGACAGTCAAATAACAAGGTCTACTTGGTTGCCAGCTGGTTTTATTACTTATCCCTAAGTCTTTAAGAACCCTTGAAGTTGAAGAAAGTCTTAAAAATACAGTCACCACCTTGCAAATGCTTTGGAATTCAGTAACAGTACCAAAATTACTGTACACTCTCACTTCCCTAAAAGCTGTGCATACATGGGGTGGTGGGAAGCAAATATAAGAATGTACCTGTATTACTGGAAAGCTGGCAGAAATCTGTGCATCATCATCTGGTTTATAGTTGTTTGTCCAGAAGAGATTCAAACTATTTGGTGACCTTTATTTTTAGGCTGCAGAGACATTAAGTCTCACTTTTCTTTGAGAACAGGGCAGAAATATAATTTAAGTCTTTGAGGCTATAAATCCTAACGTTCAAACTTCATTATTTTACCCTTTTTTCCCCAAGGTACTGCAACTGCTCTAAGCAGAACTTCAGTTGAAGTGCTAATCTCTCTCTTGAAGTATCCTCATTGTTTTTCTGCACCTCTGAAAGCAGAAAATGTGTTCTTCAACTGATAAATTCTTATAATTGTTATCCTCAAAGTGGAAATCAAATACTGCTCAGAATTGTGGGCTGAATTGCTACTAACCTCATTTTCACAGGAGATGGTCCAGTAATGAGATGTTGAGAACAGTTAGTTTTGATTGCAAAGTCGGTACTCTAATACTGACCTCTAATATAGATGTCTAAAATATTTGTTCTATCCAGGGCTTGGATCTACAACTGCAGGACAGATGTTCCTTTAAAGTCTGTTGTATAGTAGAAACTTCTGCCAGTGTGTATAGAGAGTTGGCATCAATACTCTTGAAATTCAAGCTTGTATTTCTGTAGAAACTAGAGATTGTACTGAGAATTAATCACTGTCCCACTCTACCCATCCAGATGTTTGCTCAGCTGTTGTGGAAAAAAATTCTTCAGTTAAGCAGATGCTGTGAGAAATGACCTGTGAAATGGATGTGATACATACCCAGATTTGTTTCTCTCTCTTTTTCAGTAGCCCAATTTAGCAGTTGTTATGAGAAAACTATGAGAAAACCCCCCAACAACCAAAACAACCCAACCCAAATGTAGCACTGTTTTTCATCTGAATATAAGGCCAAACAAGTAGACCTATACAAACCTGTTACGAAGACCTTCTGACACCATAAGAAGACTTCTAAGTCCCAAAGATCCTTTCTGCAGGTGTTTGCAGCATGTATACAGAGGGTTGCACTGAGAAGTTGAATTACTGTTTAGTTTGCTCTGAGCACAGAGGGATATCTCTTACAGTATGGCAAATCGCATGGATCAGAGGCTGTTTGAGTCTTGCTGTTGAACGTAGTGGAACATTAAGGTGAGTTGCTGGAATTGCATGCCATGCTTTGGAGCACAGGGAAGGAGAAAATGACTTTGCTATTTTTTTTTGAGTGCTTAAGATCTGCCTGCGAAATGGGATGTTTTGTGATTGTATGTTAATGGCATTGGCATGACCTATGGGCCCTGCTTAAAGGCAGGTAAAATGCCCATGCCAGTCTAGTGACCGCTGTCCATTCTAGGGTCATGCTTAATCTGAGATTTAAATCCTGTTCAACTGTACCGTCAAGGTAGTCACAGAATTACTGGGCTGCTTGATGTCGTATGAGAATCAAATCATGGACCCCATAAATACCAGGATTTCATCTTTTTCCTGGTTCTAACTTTTCTTTCTGCAAGTAAAGGCACAACTGATGTCCCTGCCCAGAGTCTAGATCTCCTGCAGGTGGCTTGCCCCATTACTGGGGCTTTCCCATTGCTCGGAAGTGGTAAATATAGGTGGGCAGATCCTGTTTGCTTGGGAAGTCCTCTCAAGTGTGAGCTGCTTTTTTCCTTCTGTGAAATAGATGTGTTTTTTTTCTGGCACTCAGTGCTGTTGTCTTCTGCAGCCTGTAGGCATGAAAGACTGATGAAATAGGTGATCTCTTTACAGGAGATGTTTAAGGGTAAAATTTGGTTATCTTGGAGCAGACTGAGGGGAGGTGGCTCTTTACTGGTACCAGAGGCTCAGCACAGTCTGGGATATGATAAGTTCAGGTTTGTATTAATCCTCCCTGATGTACAATGTCAGAAACGTGAAATCAGGAGGGGAAACCTTTTTTGCAGAGCAGCACATTGGAAGTCAAGGCTGTTGTTACTGTGATGATGACAAACAGATCTTCAGTTAGTAGGTGGAGGGCTGCTTTCTTTTGTCAGCTCTTAAAATGGTGCCGATTCTGTGTCACTTCACCCAGTCGCAATTGTCACTGCAAAACCAGAAGACTGACCTACTGACTTAGCTTTCACAATCATTTCTACAGAGCTGACTTCATTTCTGGTTTAAAAATAACTCAAATTCATAACCCTGGGGTTTGGGTTTTATTTGTTTTGTAATGTACTGATGTTTTTATTGCCTATAACTTCTGCTTCCTAAAGTTGCTTATACAGGACCAGAGGGTAGTGGCCTGCAAGCTATAAACATTTATTTCTTCATTACTGGGGTAGTGCAAGATGTTACTTGGCTTTAAAACTGTAAAGTGCTGTTGTCCCAGCACAGATTTTCCAAGTTAAAAGAGAAATTGCCATTGTGCGAACGGTGGCTGTAGGCTGGAATGGAATGTAACATCAAACAGGTCTCAAATACTGAAGTGTAGACGCTCACTGGCTTGTCCATGTTGTGCAAGAGATGGAATGGGGATGACTGTTCTTTTCAAAACAGCGTTCCAAATGCTGTTTCAGTACATTCAATGTTTAATAATTAGAGATAGGTGTAGATGAGGTTGCACTGGGTAGTCCATTAGCACTGATCATCTTTGATAGCAGATCTGTGAAATATCAGCATTTCACAGTGACTTCATGAACTACATGTGCAGAATGAGTGCTGCGTCCGCATCTTAGACATATCACTGGATTCTGGGTGATGTCCATTAGCACTCCCATGGAAAGAAAACAGATTTGCCTGTGTAATCTTCAGCATCAGCTTGCTGACAATTAGTGTTGATTTTCCTTCCCATCTGCACAAATGTGTGCATTCAGGAAGGAAAAAAAAGTTCTTACACTTGGAAGTCAAAAACCAGCAAACCCTGAAATAGGAAGTCCAGTGAATGATTTCCATACACCATTAATGTTTTTAGTTTCACGCCTAGCGTTTTCTCAAAGTTAGAATTCAGTCCTCTTAGTCTTTGTGCTCATGTGTATTTCTTATTAATCAGAATCAAGAGTTCTCCAGGGGAGTAGTGCTGCTGTGGGGATCTTAGCAACATCCCTTCCCATGGAAGTTAGTGAGATCTGCATCCTGGTGAGTGGAGAGGTTTATAAAATACCCTGGTGTAGCACTGGTGCTGCGTGGTTGTTGGACACATCCCAGTTCTTGTAGTCTCAGTACGGTGAGCTGGCTTTTCCAGTTAGTTAGTTAATCTGTCCTGCTGTGTGAATAAGATGCATGGTAGTGACATGGTGGAAGATGATCAGCATTTGAGTGAATCATCAGGGTCTTGTGCAAAAGAAGGAGTTTGAGCTCATCAGCTTGAATTGTTATTAACTTCCTTAACTGGGATGTGAGGAACTCTTTATCTCAAGTGGTGAATTTGGAGAATGTGGCAGAATCCCAGTTCTAACACTTCCCTTCATTTGCAAGGACTGGGAGCACTTTTTGTTCAGAAGGATGTTGTCTCAGGACAACTGTTTTTCTCAAACGCCTTTCATCCACTCTCCTGACACTGACACTGCTGCTCAGAGTTCTGGAAATTCTGCACCATCTTTACTGGTAACATGCTGTTACCTTGATCTATATACTGATATAGTTTAGGGCCCCTACAGCCCCAGTTTCTCAATCTTGGGTCCTTTGTAGCAAGAACAGGCCTTGAAGTTAGATATGAAGTATTTGTTCACAGTCTGTTGCATCACTTGTCATCTGAGGAGCATCAGGAGCCTGATTAGGACACCAATAAGTCTGTGCTACGCAGTCACCATTGCTGTGGCCATGAACATGCTTGTTTGTAGGAAATTCCCTAATGCTGATTCCAGCAGAAATGCCTATTGCCTGTGTGCAGCACATACTCCCATGTACCCACCCCTAGGGACTAGGATTGCCTGGTCTGCTTCTACTTCTCTGGTCCTAGCTCTGGAACAACATTCCTTCCATTTGTTGGAAAGGGGTGGCAGGAATACTGAAGGGGAGTAGGTTTTTTCTGTGGTCTTGAGTTGTTGGTTCTCCTTTATCAGGTAG